ACACTAACCATTACCAGCTGAATCTTTCCTTTAGACAGGGTAAGTGGGAACGGAGTGAAAGAGCAGCTTTGTAACTCTACCATGAGAGAGTTGATTGGATACTTTGTTTGTTTGGATGTTGGTTTTAGGAGCAGTTTGCATTCATATTGCTGCATAAGTGCCTCGGATCAGAAGGAGTTGCTCAGTTGCTATGCAAATTCACAGTCATGACTGCTCCTGATACAACTGAGAGCAAAAAAGTTTGACATGAGTTTGTTCCTGACATGAGTTTGTTCCGTAATTTACACCTATTGCATTAAGACACGTTTAAGAAAATATATACCCTGGGATTAAGGTATTTGAATTAACAATATTTCATATCTGGGAAGGTGACCTTCAAAAACCTAATCTAACCTAAATCGCCCACCTAGAGATTCAAGACATCCAATCCAAGATGCATGCCTACGTGTTATTGGGCAGGATTGCTCGTTATACCCCTTTAAATCTATGTTGATTCCAACCCCAGGAGAATGCGAGGCTAAACGGGTGAGGTCAAAAGGAGCTTTTAGACAAAAGTACAGTAATGTTCGTGAATTAAGGAGGAATCAATCCAGGCCTTTGCTGTCCATGTTTTCTTGACCCTACAACGAAATTGCAAACTGCCTCGTAAGTAAGCTAGATGAACGGATGACGATATCGTTAACCTACTTTATGCTGACTGTTTCTTATACCTATTCTGTTTTATTCCTTAACCCTCCCGTTAAATTGTCCTTCGCATTTCGTACACACCCAGCATCCCCCGCAACAGGTTTGCATCTTGTCCCAGAATCACGAGGAAAAGTTGGCACATGCCGTGCAGTACAGGACCACACACACAAAAAGTATTATTATCAGCCACCGCGTCACCTAGACCCAAAGGACAACACACGGATTAATAAATCAATTAATTAACTGGATTAATCGAAACAGCATTTAAGAGGTCGGACGTTGGAAACGTATATACACATGTGCCGTACCTATAAAAAATAAATCACATTTTGAGGTCTCCTACACAATGATTTCATGTGTCCCGTGGATGTGAACACCTGCTCGAATAAATCTAAATGTGTATTCTATAAGCAGTGACCACATCCAAGTGTGCCGCAAGGACAAAAGGCCTTGTTTACGAGGGCGCTTAAGGAAAGCTAAAGACGGCGAAGTCCCCCTTGGGAGTGTGGCTCCGCAGCGCTGTTGACTCACAATGGAGTGCTGATTCGAATGCACTCTTTACTTTCAGTGCGTGGCGCTAGCGAAGACGGGGTATGTGCCGCCCCGCCCCTTCCCTCCTCCCCCTTTTCCCCCTCACAGTTTCAATCAGATGCTGCATGGATAGGAAAAAAAAAATCAACCGAAGAAACTTGCAGCCTCTACTTAAAGTCATTTAAGGCAGAGCTTAGACGTAATTAGGTGTGTGGGAACAATAAGCACTCAGCACCTTGTGAAGCTTCAGCCTCACTCCAGACATTTCCTTTAGTGTAATTAGGGGCGGTGTGAATTCCTCATTAGATGGATCACCATCTGCATTCAATTCATTCCCTCGGTCTCCAGTGACGAGTCTATGTTCACACTGATTATCATGCAGGAGATGGATATGGCAGAGATATAGAAGAAAAGCTTCTCCTTTTTTTTTTTTTTTAAGGTTCCTCCGGTGCGGTTGGAGATCCAGTGCCTCGCCACACAAAGGTAAATCAGTTTGAAATGATGAGCCATCAAAGCTTTAATAATGGAGTCGTTCTCTAATGATTGGCCCTCTATGCTTCCTCAGTGAGGGGCATTTGGTTTTTTGGGGGGAAGACAGAACCCTGCCATTTTAAAATGCACTCAAGCATTTTGGTATAAGCCCACATGGTGCTGGACACAGTGATGGTCCAGTGAGCAGTAGGATGAAGCCCGCAGCGTCGACTTAATGTCTGATCCACATGGGGAAAGAGGGAGAGGGGAGCCATCATATCTACTATACCATACTACTGATTTTTGACCGGACGTAGATCGTTGCGGAAATTCTGTAGTAGATGATTTTGGAATATCCTTGACCAAACCATCATCTTCGTCTCCGTCCTGAATAAATCCAGTCTTGAACCAGTAGGCTCACCCGGTCTATGCGAACTGAGTAACATTCTACCAAGAGGCCTACCTGAGAATGTTTCGTTATCATTATTATTTCTACACAAAATGGCCACGTGTGTGGGTTATGATTCTACTTTTTCATGTCCGACATGATACTGCGATTGGAGTATCTGCTCATAGGTATATACTGTATCAGTGCGGTACCTTCGTATCTCCGGCAGCAAACCACAGACTGCCGTTGCTGAGGCAATAGAGTCCGTGTTTAAGGTATGTCGCACAAAGTAAAGTTGGGCATATTCAATCCTGAAATTTTGACCAATATCAGACCGATCCCGATCCTGAGTATCGGATCTAGCCATCTCTACAGTCTTTTAGTCTGCAAAGATATAAGGGTGATTTTAATGGGGCGTTGTGAAGAAACAAAGCTGAGCTATATATATTCTTACTTTTGAATTTTTCTTTTGTACAAAAACAATTATAGGCTGAGACCTAAAGCTGGACCTAAAGTTTTGGTCTTACCACATTATCAATCTTAGAACAATAATCTTTGTTTCCAATTGTTCTTACTTTTGGGACTGTTTAAATTTTTTTTTAAAGATTTTTGCTATATAATAAATTAATAATTTCACATCGATGGTTAAAACATAGGTAATAGTTATGTACTATAATACAGCTGGATAAAAAAAAAAATCAGAAATACTTGCTAAAGCTCGGCAAATTTTTTTTTTTTTGCTGCTTTCTCATTTACCAGTCTTGAACCAGTAGGTTCACCCGGTCTATCCGAACTGAGTAAGGTTCTACCAAGAGGCCTACCTGAGAAGTTTTCGTTATCATTATTATTTCTACACAAAATGGCCACATGTGTGGGTTATGATTCTATGTTTTCACGTCCGATATGATACTGCGATTGGAGTATCCGCTCATAGCTATAGTAGTCTGGTACCTTCTTATCTCTTCCAGCAAACCACAGACTGCTGTTGCTGAGGCAATAGAGTCCGTGTTTAAGGTATGTCGCACAAAGTAAAGTTGGGCATATTCAATCCTGAAATTTTGACCAATATCAGACCGATCCCGATCCTGAGTATCGGATCTAGCCATCTCTACAGTCTTTTAGTCTGCAAAGATATAAGGGTGATTTTTCTTACTTGTTGTGATTTTGTTTGATTAAGAAGAAACAAAGCTGAGCTATATATATTCTTACTTTTGAATTTTTCTTTTGTACAAAAACAATTAAAGGCTAAGACCGAAAGCTAGACCTAAAGTTTTTGGTCTTACCACATTATCAATCCTACAACAATAATCTTTGTTTCCAGTTGTTCTCTGGACAATACTTTTGGGACTGTTTACATTTTTTTTAAAAAAACACAATTTTAAATGTGATAGGGATGTAACTCGTGGAAAACTTCACAACGATAACATATTGAACAAATACCTACATTAATGTCATGCTAAAAAACACCACATTAATCAGGTAGCTATTTAAGAAAATGAGATTGATTGAGACTATATATCGATTTTTGCCATATATCGATGAACATAGGTAATAGTTATGTACTATAATACAGCTGGATGCAAAAAAAATCTGAAATACTTGCTAAAGCTCGGCAATTTTTTTTTTTTTTTTTTGCTGCTTTCTCATTTTCCATCCTCTTATCGGAACACTTAGTCTTAAGGGCCAGCTGTGTAATATGGATGCTTGAGCATGTAAAAGGAGTCTCGCTGGGTGAATCCTTAGAAATAATGAACAAATGGGACTTAAGAATTTGTCGGGGCAAAAGCCTCTGTTTTAATTATGGTAGATCCTCCAGAGACCAGGCTGCAAATACTGTATCGGTTGTTATGCTACCCCTGCAAGTCTGCTTCACTTTAACCTCAATACAGTATGTACGTATATATACAGTATACACATACATATATTGTGTATGTGTATGTGTATATATATATAATTATATATATACACATAATATACACATATACACACTATATACACATACATACATGTGTATGTATATATATATTTACATATATATACACATATATACTGTATATACATATACATATATACATATATATACACATATATACACATATATACATATATACATATATAGATATATATATACATATATATACATATATACATACATATATATATACATATAAATAAATTAAACACACCTTTCCTTTGTGTTGATCTTAAAAATGTGAAAAAGCATTATTAAATTAATCAAATCCATCCAAGGTCAATCCTACGTCGATGAAGACCTTAGAAGTTCAGTTCCACTCGCCGGCCTACTTCGCGCGTGTGTTCTCTTCCAAGAATGCGCGCACGTCTAAGAATGTGTGTAAAGGTTTAGCACCCCTGAAGGCACTTGATGTCCCTTTTTAAATGTATTATTAATGGGCCACAAAGACGGTTAAATAGAGTTAATAAATAATGAAGTCCGCTAGGCAAATTGCTACTTTGTGCTGTGTGCGGGTTCGCAGCAGCAAACACGTCGCAGTATAATGGAAATATTACGAGTGGTCTGCAACTTTAACTTTATTGCTATTTGACCAAAAGTAACTGTAAGCCCTTGAAGGAATCCATTAGGAGGGAGTGTCTTTTTATGCGACTTAATTATTGTTTTTAGAGCCATGGAAATCTCATAATCACCACTAACAAAGAGGGTTACTTATTTTTTTTGTACTGCTGTCTCTTTATTGACTCGACAGTCTGTTTATAAAAAAAAATCCGAATGCCACATGTGCAAAAAAAAATAATAAGAGGGATGCAACAGATTCCGGAAAAGTTCTGCTGCCATTAAACCAATGCAAAAACTGACAGGAACTCTAGAGAAATGACCGAAAGGCCCTTCTATAGGGAACATTCATTATCACAATCAATAAACAGTGATGTAAGTGCAAGGTCTTACCCGCTTGACCGGTTGCGATGCTAACCGCTGCAAACAGCCTCTGTGTCCGGCTCAGGTCCGACACCCCATTGACAGCCTCCACCTCGAAAGTGTAGTTGGCATGTGCGAGCAGGTCCATGATGGTCACATAAGTGTCCACTAATCCAGACTGCGCGGGAGAGTATCCAACGTTTGGCCCACACGGAGCGCACTCCTCAGGCTCCCAGCTACAACTTCTGCATATAACCCTGTAGCTGACATCATTGCGGCCTCCCGTGTCAGCCGGTGGGTTCCACTCCAGGCTGACAGTAGTCTGGTTGATGTTGTAGACCAGGTTCTGTGGCGCTGAGGGAGGTCCTGTCAGAAGTGGACACAGAGAAAGCCTGATTTAAACAAGCGAGTGCTGTGGAAAGTGACAGCCCAGACTGTGCATCGACTAGATCTGTGTTTTCTCTGTATCCCAGAGAGGAGAGAGAAGGGGGAGGAAAAAAAAAATGTTTGGAACACGCCAGCTTCAGCCCTACAGCCAAACAGCGACACTCAATTATAATAAGGTTCAGATCCAGAAGCAAAAAAGGCTGAAGGAAATAAGCTCTGGCAGAGACCGAGGTCAGTGCAGGAAGTGAGGGAAATCAAACACAGAGGGCCGGAGTTAATAAGGAAGAACAATGATGATGATGATGATAATGATGATGATTATTATTAATAATTATTATCATAATACATCACCATAATAATGATATTAACATATTATCATTAAATAATAAAAATAAAAATAAAAAAATTTATAAAAATTAAAATTAAAATTAAAAAATAAATTAAAAAAATAAAAATAAATAATACCAATAATAATGATTATTATTATTATTATTATTATACTATGTGCATACATACATCCACACTGACACCTGCCACTACCTTTGGAACAGAAACTATAACTAATAATACGCAATACCAAGTGCATTTTTACTAATTCACTTCATTCAAAAAAAGTCCAGTCATATCCATTTACTTTCTTTGTTTAAAGATAATCTGGCAATATTTTAAAATAATAAGTCATTCAGACGCTGATACAAACAGAACAAAAAAGATAGACTCCGTAGTAACGGGTGGTACTGGTTGACCAGTCCCTCAAACAAAAAAAGTTAGGGAGCGCTGGTATAGATGTCACTACTCCATAACAGACTAATACATGTTTCTGCGATTGATATTGTTCATTGCTGTGTAATAAAAAATAATAATTTCTCAAGTTTAAAAAACTCTGCTGCATGGACTTGCCTTTTAAGCTCCCGCGGGGCCACACAAAACTGCTTGGCGGGCCGCATTTGCCCCCCCCGGCCTTGAGTTTGACACGTGTTCTAAAGAATTAAGGACAGCGTTTGCTCAGCGCCTAGTTCAGGACATCCACTCAGCAGCTGCTGCTGTGAATATATCTGACAAATTGCGAGGCAAAGCAAAGGACACTAGACTGGGAATCAGTCTGAAATTCTTTCTCCACTGTTTTAAAGTATACTAACGATTTCCCCACAGCTGGAAGCAGGGGCCTTACTGGTTTTCTTTGGTAAAACGCTGTTTGTCACGTTGACAGCGAGGCACTTAAAATTAATGGCTGCCCCCGAAAGACCTGTCTAATCCAGAAGAAATATGCACAAAACTAAAACCTGGATGATCCCCATGTTGTAACTGCCATATACGGTTGCACTTGACACACCGTAACAACAGGCTCCGCAGACTCCGCAAACACGAACCGGGGCCACACAGGCAATTTGGCAGTAAATGTTAACGGCGGGCAGATTAACTCATCTCATAAAACAATGAATAACAAATTGCTGCTTTCATCTTTGCGAATTCCAGGCTGTTGGTTTTTACAGCCCATGTGTTGATATAAATAAACCCGGCCTAACACAGTAAAGATTATATGACTTACATTTTTGTGATTATTCCAGAATTGTTTTGCTCATATCCTAAAAAAAAAAAAAGATTATTTTAGAGCACTATATTTGCGGAACTGAATTTTTCTGGACATATACCTTATATAAAAAAAATCACATTTTTGTCCCATTTTTCTCGCTATATGAAGATTCCATTTTACTTGTTTTCATGTTTTACGCTTTCCCTTTTTCTATGTCTAATGTAATATACATTACTGTATAAAAAGTTACGTTAAAAATCGAATCTGGCCTGCGACTGAATCAAGGGCCAGAATCAACAGTTTTATGGGCCGGATTCGGCCCTTGGACCGCCAGTTGATGCTCCCCGTTTTAGAGGATCTTAATGAAAGGAGATACCAACTCATTGCGTTTACCCCGTTTACTAATAACAATGGTCATGTTTGTTTAAAGAGACCAATCATCATAATAATGTAGTGATGTTAAATTGTTGTTTTTAAGTATACCACGGCGGATCATACATCTGCGTGATCATGCGGAAAGATAAAACGGACCGTGGATGAAAGAGCCACCTGTGTAAGGGTAGTGGAGAAGTGGCCCACCGATAGTGGCACTCAACCTCAGCCTTGGCATCGATACACTCACCACCCTGCACTTGTGGTCAATGGCATGGTCAATATGAAAGGATGTCAACACACACACACACACACACACACACACACTCTCACACAGATCCAAACATTCACAGAGCCCACAAATAAACACACACACACTCTGACGCACACGCTTCTACCAATTCCAGCTGGCAATCGCGGTGTCTCGTTTTGCTTGTTCCGATTTAAGTCTCAGGTGCCGCGGATCAAAGAGTTGTCTGGCGACCACAAAGGAAAATAAATTGGGCCTCTTTTCATCGGAACACTTCCTTGTTTGCTCCCTTTCTAGTCCACGCATTTTGTTCTTTTAAATCCACATTGTTTTTGGGCACACTCTCCCAATGTTTTATTGTTCAGAAATTACATAGACAGAAATCGCACCTCCAATTGTCCTTCCGATGTTCTCCTCAATGCTTATCGTACACCTTTGTGAGAAGGCTTGGGCCTTGTACTGATAAGGAGAATGTGAACCCTGACCCCGGCTCTACTTTTTTATATTTTGATTTTTTCATGTTTTACCCTTTCCATTTTTAATGTAGTAATGTTATATACTGGAATTTTCCAGACTATTAAGCGCACCTGAATATAACCGCACCCAATACATTTAAAAAGAAAAAAATAACTGTACATATATAGGCTGCAAAAAAGAAAAAAAATGTTATCCCATGTTGTAACATGGGATATTTACATTCAAGCCGCACGTTGTAACATGGGATATTTAGACGGAAAGATTTTTTGCACTTTTAATTTTTTTTTTTTAATGTTCGAACAGTGCCTGTAACACAGCTAGTTACACGTTAGCTCTTTCTTGCTTCGGCGCCCCGACCGTAGTTGGAATGCACAGGGGAGACTTAGTGATCTGCTCCAGGGCTGAAGCTAACGTTAGCTTCGGCCCGTTTTATTTCAAAGTAGAGTGAAATAAAATATTGTCCAACTATTGTCACGCTCTTTTGTATGTTAAGAAACTGTAGCTACCTATTGTCACGCCCTTTTGTATGTTAAGAAACTGTAGCTACAAACACTTTTTTTGAATAAGTCAAGAGTGTGTTGCAAACAAACAGGGAATCATAGGAAGAATATGCGATCAAAGGTGATTTAAAACAATTTCCTGATCAATTAATTTCTTTCTAGATGTTCTTTCTAGATGGTGGAAGTCCCTGTAATGATTAAACTGGAACCACATGACTGGACTTTAATACAACCCTGTTATAAATTACAGTCAGAAGAGGGTAATGATTAAAAGCGAATATGCAACGTGCACTCTCTCAAACTTTGTGTGAGCTTAGAACTACTTTTTCCACGTGAATTGGATTCTTTTGTTTTAGGTTCATTTTCATTTTATAATTAAAAAAAGAAAAGTTCATGCTTCGACTGCTTTTGCTCACTTCGGCTGGTGTTACGAAAAATGGCAGCAGATACGAAACGCTGATCGAACCGAATATTATTCAATGTCACGCGCCTACCTTAAAATGCAAAGCCTCTCTGGATCGCACCAGATTGGAAACAGCGACTCTTTGATGTGAAACATGTGAAAACATTGTCAAGGAAAACTGCGCTAGTCTTCGAACTATTAAAATGTCTTTAAAGTAATGGTACGGTCATGGTCAACCTTTTAAAGTGCAAACACTGATGCAATTCAGCCTCGAGCCTCGCTGGGTCTAGAAGTATTTTAAAGGCTTGACCGTGACCATCCCATCGCGGTAAAGAGCGCGGGCCTTTGTATTTAGTTCGACTTTGCTTTAAACCGTATTAAATTGTATACACAGGACATTTTTGTTTTGCAACGTGCGAACCACATTCGACATTTTTTTGGGGGAGTGGGGAGGTTGCATCCGAAAGTGACCTAAAGAAGAAGAACAACATGAAAAGATATTTTCACTGGAGAATAACGCTCCAAAAAAGGCGGAGAGTTTAAATACATAGCGTCAAAGAAACGGGACGTTCTGGCAGAGCTTTAAAGAGAGACGAAGGCAAGGACAGAAATCTCTGGACGAAAAAAAAAAAACAAACCTAGCTAGCCACAAGTGGGTCTTGCTTGTCAAAGTTACACACGCACTTTTTTTTTTCCTTCAAACCAAAATGACGCATCATTTACCTCAGCCTCTTTAAAGCATGTACTGAGGCCTTCGCTCTTGTGTTGTGTTTCTCTCCCCCTGCTTTAGTGTCTCTGTTTCTTTGACAAGCCTCTGTCTGAACCTCGGAATACAAAACTCCCCCTGCCCCCAATTCACCTGCAGCGAAGATAAGCTATGCATCCAGAACATTCCGCTGTCTGCCTGTCCCTCTGTCTGTCTGCTCATCCTTATTGCTCAAGGGCTAGTCTGCCCCCTCTTCTTTTATAACTGCTCACAACCCCACCAGTACTCTTGTCTTATCTCCGCTCTCACTCCTCCTCCCACTCTGGTTTCATTTCACGGATTAGGCCCGCCAGCTCCCACAGCCTGAAACATCTCAATCACTCCCCCTTCAAACACCGCCACTGTAACCAAGCACAGAGTTACAGTGGCAGCGAGGCTTAGTGCAATGGTATTCCATTACCACGCATGTATACCTAAAAAAAATTTGCAAAATGTGAAGTTTCTTTGAAGCAGATGTACGACACCCCAACATCTAACACACAACTAAATCTATGTTAAAATATACATATATATATTTCTGCATAATATAGCTTAACAAGGGACACTATTACCTCAGCAACAGCAGCCTACATGCTGGAGTAGGAAAGAAGGTACTGGATCGATGTCGGTATCACGATACACAAGTTTCAGTATCGGTAGCAGACATAAAAAAGTTTGTGTTGTTCTTCGGGTCAGGG